CCAAGGTGTGGTGCTCAGCTTCCGTTGGGCCTCTATTTACAGGGCTCAGCATAGGAACACACATCTCAAGTGCACTTTTCTGTCTGAGCAATGGCCTTCTTGTTCACCTTTAACCCCATTACCTGCATAATAGCTTATTTATTCGACACTTAATCTCTTAAGCATGTTGCCTGAATTTGGGGATTGCTCTGAAGCTGCGGCTTCATAAAACCTACCTCAACGTATAACTGTGAAAAATGATTGACTCACTAAGACGAACAGTAGTGACAACAGTTACTGATGCCAACGGGGTGTTTCTTATGTACCAGGCACTCTTCTGATCATCCTACTTCTATTAGTTTATCTAATATTTGTAACACTAATAGGTACTATTATTATCCTCAGTTTATAGAGAAGGAAGCAGAGGTACAGAGAGATCAAATAACTTGCCCAGGATTACACAGTTGGTAAATATCAGAGGGGCAGTTTCAACCCAGTCTGACTTTTAAGTCTGCGTTTTTAACCATTATGCTGTACTAGCACATTACATGGATGAAGAAAAGGATATAAATATATCCTACACATTTCTATCTAGGTAAATACAGAGGGACAAAGTTATATATTAAATCCCTGGTTTCCATGAGAGTAGCCAAATAAGGAGGGAGGCTGTGAGTCTGTTTTCATTTAAAAAAAAAAAAGCGTTTTAGTCATTGGTGTATCTACATTAATAAGTAGGGTCAGGATCTGGATTTCAGACATTCCATCAGAATGAAGCAAAAACCCCAAATCTCCACACAAACCATCCTACAGCAGTGAATTGCTCCAACACCATTGACCCTTGAGGAGACTACATGCTTTGCAGAAATGTCCTTCTCAGTTTTGCCTGTCAGTGAACATGCTAGTCCTTTTCCCAACTGTTGGGACCCATCCAAAGTTTCTGCCAGCAGCATTATCTCCAGCCTTGGCCCACATTGCTGGTTCCCTACTCACACATATGCCCCTCCCTATCACTTTGAAACTGCTTTGTCTGAGTCCAGAGGGGCATCCCTGAGAAGAATTTTGTTAATCCGAGAAGCAAGAGATGTTTACCATTTCTAGAAGAGAGCTCACCCAGCTCCCCTTCCTCATCCCTAGTCACTCTTACCTCCATTTCCATAGAGTTATTCTTTCTATGTTTTAGTATTTTCTTTCCCTTTTCCGTTTTTGAGAATACATGAATATGTTTCCTCTTCCTAAAAAAATTAAAAGGATTAAAGGTTAGGTGTAAGTCCCTTTTTGACCATCAACTGCATTCCAGGTCCCTTCCTGGTGGTCTTGTGGGAATTCTTTCAGTTTGTTCTCCAGGCCTCGCTGCTGTGTACTTATACACATATTTTGTATTTATACTTAGAGAAAGTATTATATAATGGGAAATGAGTACTTCTTTAGCATGTACTTGAAAAATATGTACTTACATATTTGTATATATATTTAGAATATATAATATTTTGCATGTTTTAAATACAAAAGCATTGTACTGCCTACATCTTACAACTTGATTTTTTTCCTTTAACAACATGACTTAGAGACTTCTAATGTCAGTGTATAGATGTATGTATGTAATTTTTTTAACTGTTCATTGATTTTACATGAATATGGATGTACCATAGCTCTTTAGCCATTCCCTGATCAATGGACATTAAATTGTTTTCACTTTTTCACTGTTACGAATAATATACAATAAAAGTAATAGACAGCTGGAACCACATGAGTATTTTTCTGCACCAAACACCAAGAAGTGTAACTGCCAGGGTATAGGAAATGCACATTTCTAATTTCAATAGACAACATGAGACTGCCCTTTAAAATGCTACAGCAGTATTTACCAATTTACAGCTGTGAGAGTCCCGTTTTGTTTATTCACTTGCTAATGTTGATACAACCACTCTTTAATTTGCCAACCTGACAGGCAAGAAATGCCATCTTATTTTTGTTTGACTTTGCATTTCTGTAATTGCTTGTGGAGTTGAGCTGCTTTCTAATATTTGTTGACTATTTCAGGTTCCTGTTCCATAAATGCCTGTTCATAGCCTTTGGCCATTTTTCTTTTGGCTTGCTTGTCTTTTTCATATTGTTTTGTGGAAGTCTGGCTTCTTTCTTTCCCTCCTACACCCTTTGGGTGTGTGTGTAGCAATACTGGCAACTCCTTGAAGTACTGGTCCAGTGTAATGAACTGGAGTTACATTCCTTTCCAAGAATTGCTTTCCTTAAATTGAAGAGATGTAAGCCACAAATAAGAGAGAAAAGGAAGCCCCTGGGGTAAACACCATTCATCGAACCTTTCAATGACTTTGAATGTCCCCTCTTTCCTGGACATCCTCCTAAACAAACCAGTATGAGAGGTCTTATTTAAATCCATCAGTTCCTCATTCTTAAAGAACAGTTTTTAGGAGCTCAAGGAATAGCCAAAGAGAGGGAGGACTGTTAGGAGGTATGATTTCTAAAGAGCTTTTCTATATATTGCATTATTTTCAAGTAATAGGACAACCTCAGAGAAGTCTGCTGAAGGCAGCAGTGGGCTGTGGTCCACCAACTTTTGAAGTTGTGTTCTTCTCCCTCATTCCCTCAGTTTAGAGTGAGACTATCTGTAGAGAAAATAGGTGAGACATCAGATGATTAAATACAACACTCACAGTGCCAGCATCTAAAGCTTAGTAGGAAAGGCTGAAAACAACACAAATGTAATCTCTGATCACCCTAAAAAGGAAAATCTAAGACATTTCCTTGTCCCCACTAAGGATTTTTCCTGTCTCCTTTGTGGAATTGGCTGAAAAACGTCTGTGTGTGATTTCAGAACCATCATGCAAACGCTTTGTTTCATATCGCTGCAGCTAGTATTTCAGCCAGCCTGAACACGGAAAAGGAAATGAGAGGACAGATGAATAGAGTGCAAGTTGAAAGAAAATCAACATCAAGAAAGAAAAGATACACAGAAGAGAGATAATACACAAATACTTAAAAAAAGAGAGTCAAGGAAACATTCTTTTGTCTCTCCAACATCTGGTCATTCATCAATTTCTATTTGTTTTCCTTTAAATTGATCCTATAATAGATCTTCCTTTCTATTCTTACCACTTTTCTTTCAGACCATAGGACATACCTTGGCTAAAAAGAAATCAGGTCATGTTCTCTTTCTGTGCCTGAATGATTCCAGTAGTATAAACATTACTGGAATCCACACCACTTCAATCTCCACCAAACACAACTGTGCATATATTGCTTTTTGCTCTGCTCACAAACCTTCAAGGGTTCCCTAGTTACAGATTTATTGTATTGAATTTAGCCTCTTCTGCCTGGCTCTTAGAATGCTCTAATATCCGACTTCACCCCACACAGTACTACTTAGACTGTCTCACCAACATTCCCTTCTTATCTGCCTTCTGCATCCCTTCCATTCAGAATGCCCTTGTAGCTTTGTGCTTCCTCTCTGAATTCTACCTAGTCCTGAAATCCACCTAGTCAAATTTCCCCTTCTCAGTGAAATTCTCTATCTGTTCCACCTTTATCTTCCTCTCTGCTAGCCATTTCAGTCCCCAAAGGTACAATTTGGGATGGGACACCAGAGAATCTGGAGAGGAAGTGTAGGGTGTCTTTGAATTTGCATTGGGTTAGCACTTCCTCTGGCGTTGAATGACCTTGGGCAAGCTGGTTTCCTTCCCTGAAGCAATGTTTCCTTGTCCGCAGTGATTCCTAATTCCAGTGCCTTGCTGCTATGCAACGTCTTTCCAATAAAGTCTTCTTTTAGCAGGTTTCTGTTTTCTGAAACAGATGAGCCCTGATTAAGCCACAGACTCCTTTCAATGGTCTCAACAATCGCTAAAATAATAACTATTATGATATTTACTGTCTATTTTGTTTTTTAATAGCTTCATGCATGTTAGTCTCACCTTACACAGGCTATAAATTCATTAATGACTTAAGGCAGAAGTGAACTGTGTACTTTATTTCCAATAATTCTTAAACTGGTATTAACCTGCAGGTATGGCGAGCTCCATTAATACTTGTTGAATGGTTACTACTCCTAATATTTTTCACTGTTCCAGAAGTAGATAAAAAGAGAAATATAGTGATATATTATCCATCAGATTAGAAAATGCAATTCCAGATTGCTGGTTTGATGAATTTAAAAATCTTTAAAAATTTTGCCGGTTGCGAAAGGAATAGAGAGAAATATTCCAATATAAAAACAATAGTTGTGTTATCTCGGAGAGGTAGTGCTATGGGTCTGTCACCATCACACTAACCTAAATCTTCCAGTTTTCCACACTGGACATGACTCACTTTCAGAAACTGAAAAGAAATCATTTCAAAAGTGGCAATCAGGCAAAAATATATTTGGATATTTAATAAATGTTTCTTAATTTCCTTCATTTGTCTAAGGGTATGTTAGAAATAAACTTTAATGTTAGACTCACCAACTTTGGCCTTAATTGTATAGGTAAAATTTGGGTTTTGATTTCCTTTTATCTTAAGAATAATATTAATCTCATAGGAAAGTTTAACACACTTCTAAGCACATGTGATACTAAATTTCAACTTTACCTTAAAGAATTAAAAAAATTCCTATTTAATTCAAAACATGACCTAAAAGTGAACAGAAGACTACTTGGCTATGTTTTATGCATAAAATCATTTGAGTTTTCTTGACATTTCTGTTCATTGTTTAAAAGGAATGCTACCAGATCACGGGAAGATGACAGCATGAGTTGTTCAGCAGAAATCTCCTCCCCAAAACATATATATTTAGGAAAATACAATAAATACAAGTATTCCTAAAAGAGACACCAGTGGATACAGTACAACAGCCAGGATACATCTACATCTGCAAGAACTCAACATCACACAAAGGGGGTAAGATACAAGCCATGGCCAGGCAGGAACAGAATGCCCCCCACACTAGAACACAGTGGGAAAAAAGGAATTGAAACGGGGATGGAGTGAAAGCCCAGGACTGCTAAACAACCAGCTCTAGAAATCCTCACCTGGAGCGCAGGCACAAGGTGCGCGGGGTGCTGGATAATAGAGAAGTGGAAAAGCAAAACCTGCAGGCAGGTCCCCTCAACAGGGGCCGCTGAGCTGAAAGAAAAGTGAGTGCTTTCTGCAAGTATTAAAGAGTCAGGGACCCCACAGCTGGACAAAGTCATCCTGGCACATTTGGCCAGCAGCTGGGAATCCTGGGGAACTTTAGGTGCCCTAACACCCTGGGCGGCAGTGCACCTTTGAAGCCCCTCATGGCACTAAGCAGCCCTCCAGTTGTTCCCCCAACTGGTGCAGACCCTGACACACCAGCCCAGTAGTTGGAGAGTAGCAGGGTGCGCCAGGGGCGGTAGTGTCAGAGGGGACCAGGGGTGGCTCATGTGCACTGGAGGCATCAGAGGGGACTGGGAGTGGTTTGTGCAAGCCTGCCATGGCAGCGATCGAGCAGCCTGACAGGGGCCCCCATGCGCCGGTGACAGTGGCACCAGAGGAGGCCAGGAGAGGTCCGTGTGAGCTCGCAGCAGCAGGGAACAAGTGATCCAGGAGTGGCCCAAGCGTGCCAGTGGTGGCGGTGCCAGAGGGGCACAGGAGAGGCCTGCATGCACCTGCAGCGGTGCCAGAGGGAGCAGCGTTGCTCCCAGCAGTCGAACGGAATACCAGGCCGAGGCACAGCCACCCAGGTCAGACCCAAAGGCCACTGCTGGCACACAGCTGCACAGCAGGGGCGCCGCTATAGTGGAGGAGCACACCTGGCATGCCTGACACTCCCGGCAGAGCTCCATGCTGCTCTGACAGAGACCCCACTCACAGCAGCTTAGGGGATTAACCCGGAGGCTGTTCCAGGAGTGTGGGTAACTGACACAGGCAGCAGAAAAGGGCAAGGCATCCAGCAAGCAGGAGAGGACTTTCTTCTCCCAGCTGATACACCTGCAACCTGCCTAGAGCCACTGCTATCACCATGAAAAGGCACAAAAACATAGTCCAGTCGAAAATAGCTCAGACAACCCTGAGAGAGCATCTGCAGAGACAGACCTAACCAGTCTCCCTGAAAAATAATTCAAAATAAAAAGCATAAACATGCTGACAGAGCAGCAGAGAAATATACAAGAGCTAAGGTATGACATTCAGATGGAGATTACAGAAATAAAACAATCTCTGGAAAAATTTATAAGCAGAATGGATAAGATACAAGAGGTCATTGATGGAATAGAAACCAGAGAACAGGCATACATAGAAGCTGATGCACAGAGAGCTAAAAGGATCTCCAGGAGTGAAACAATAATAAGAGAAATGTGTGACCAATGCAAAAAGAACAATATTCACATTATAGGGGTAAAAGAAGAAGAAAAAGAGAGAAAAAGGGCCAGAAAGTGTCCTATAAGAAATAATTGCTGTGAACTTCCCCAAACCAGGGAAGGAAATAGTTTCTCAGACTACAGAAGCACACAGAACTACCGAGAGAAGGGACGCAAGGAGGACAACACCAACACACATAATAATTAAAATGGCAAAGATCAAGGACAAGGACACAGTATTAAAGTAGCCAGAGAGAGAATAAAGATCA